AAATGAACACTATATCATTTCGACATAATGTGTGTTGTTACAAATTTTTTGTTATGATTTAAGGCCGAATATTATTTTTATTTCTGTTTTTTTTTTTTTTTTTTTTTTTTTTTTTTTTTTTTTTTTTTTTTTTAATGATTTATCCACATTCAATCAAATCCATCGAATGACAAACAACACTATGATGTTTTCTTACGCGCTAATCGAATTTCGGTGATAATACGACAATGAATTAAGTACATGCGTAAATGTTACACTTTTTATGGATTTTTTTTTTTCTTTCTTTCCTCTGGATAAACTTTATTTTTTTTTTTTTTTTTTTTTTTTTAATAACTTCTATATATATATATATATAGTTTTGTTTGTTTGTTTGTTTTTCTTTTTCTTTAAATATTTGTTCTTTTCTCTCACAATTCTTGGAGAACAATTGGTGATATTTATTTATTAAAAATATCGATAGTTTAAAATAATCGAAAATATAAATAACAAACAGGCGTTCAGAGTTTTGGAAACGGAAAACAAAAAGAGAGAGAGAGAGAGAGAGAGAGAGAGAATGTGTGTTTCTGTTGTGTTAAAAAAGAAATAGAGAAACAGATAAATGAATTAGAAATAGATTAATAAGAAGAAATATTTCTGAACGCTTGTTCTTTTTTTTTGTTTTTCCTTTTTCGATAGAGATAAAAAATTGTCCATTTTTTTGGGGGAGAAAAAAGCAACAATAGAGCGGAACTATTAAACGGCGAATAATTGTATTCGCCAATCGACGACTATGGTCACACTGTATGTTTATGTGTAAGTGTAATATGTGTGTGTGTGTGTGTGTTGACCGTTAGCTCGACTTCAGTCTTTCGCAAAACGCGTTTTATGTGTTGGTTGTATTGTGTCTTCTTCGCATATACGCACAAATTCGAGATAAAATGGCGCCGCGAGTTTTTTTATTATATTATTATTATTATTATTATTATTATTATATATTTGAGAGGATGATAAGATCTTTCACATTACTTTTCGTGACATCATACATTATTTTTTATGATTAATTCAAACAAATTTTCCCCCTTCTTTTTTTTTTTTTTGACTTTTATTTTCTCTGTCGTACCACCCCTTCCTTCTCTCTTTCGCGCACTACCACCCTCCATTCAAAAATCATATCCAATTGTTGTCATTTTAATTAATTCTCTTACTTTTTCATAACAAATTTTCTTTAAACAAACAAACACACGCACACGTTCATTCGTATTAACAATTGTCTTCCTTTTTTTTTTCCAGTCACTCACTTACTCACTCATTCACTCAGTCAGTCACTCCCTCTCTCTCTCTCTCTCTCTTTCGAATGTTATTTTTATCTAATTTCATTTTCCAAAAACATATATATATATATATGTAGTATATATATATATATATATACATATACATATAACAATCAAAAGAAAAAAAAAAGCACGCACACCCCCTTCTAATGATCGCGGACAGTTTCTAAGAGACACGTAATTTTTTTCTTTTTTATTTTCAATTTCTTGGAATCTGTCCGCATTTTTTTTTTTTTTCTTTCCATTCATTTAAAAGTCCTCCTCCTCCTCCTCCACATCCATCTTCTCAATAATATTTCGCGCACATATTAATACGAATTTGTTACGTTATCGTAGAACTTACGGAAGAAAAATAAAAAATAAAAAAAAAAATAGAACAAACAAACAAAAATTAAAAGGAGACAAAAATGAATACAAAGAACCAGGGAAAACGCGTGTTCCGGGGGTGGGTTGGTTCCTTGGCACTGAAGTTCATTCACCTCGGATTTGTTGTATAATCGGATCATAATCATCATCATCATTTGTTTTTATTTCGTTTATCTTTTCTCTTTATTTATCTCAAAGTTTATCGCGTAAGAGTGCCCAATGGGGTTCCTCTCCACCATTTTATTAATTCTCGACGAGGATAATAAACGCGATTAAGCGCGCCGCCACGGAACAACTTTGAACAATGGCCATTAACGAAAGCACAGCTTCCATTTAATCATTTTTTTTCTTCTCACTATTATTATTATTATTATATTCCATATACCTAGTAAAATGTTCACCGAACAAAATGCACCCCTTTTCTTCCTTTTTCCTTTTCCTCTTCGCGTCAATTCCATCGTCGAATGAAAAGTCGCGTTGTTTCTTGTAGTAGTAGTAGTAGTAATAGTAATAGTAGTACTTTTTCAGTGGTGATGCTGCTGCTGTTGTTATTGGTGGTGGTATTGTTAGTGGTTGTTGCTGTTTCAAGCATTTTTCTTCGGTCCCAATAGGCTAAAGTTTAGTTTCACGTGGAAGTTCTGGTAAACTGGTACACGGTGCTAACAATCCAAGAACCTCCGAGACATTTCTTGGTTCTCCTGCAAGTATTTTTTCTGCACTGGAACCTTTGTAAACTGGTTTATTCTGATCGAAGTCATTGCAAATTGACGTAGAACTTCCGTATTCTTCTATGCAATGCAATACAATTGGGGAAGGCGGTGGTAATATGATTTGCAATGGTGCCCTTGGCCCATTGTTTTCGATATAATTAATATGAATGCCTTCCAGGGTGGTGTCCATGCCATGTGGACTGACCGAGGACAATTCTGTTGGTGTATAATATTCGCTATTCATATCTTCCAAACTGGTACCCGCTGTCATGTCGTTGATCTTTGCTTTAAAGTACGTGTCCGGTCCTGCATAACCATCCTCTTTACTATTGTCGAAAACAACGGAATCGCTTTTCCCACATGAACCACTTCGACAATTATCGAAGTATAAATTTGGCAGATTTTCCAATACTTTGTTTAACGTTTGTTGTTGATACTTGTAGCTTTCCCTTAACCGTAATACCTGGTGAGCACTGAATTTTCGAATTTTATTCCGTTGGAAGACGTAATTTTCTCGCACCCAATTAAGCTGACTCGTTGAATAATCTCGTACTCTTTTCACCTGTTACCAAAGGAAAAAGAAATTCTTTGTAACGACCGCTTATTATTTCACTTATCGTTAATAATCGAAATAATCAAAATAGAAATCTAACAACCCGAGTCAATAGAAATATTATCATCGTTGTTTGTTTCATTTCAAGATAGTGCACGTAAACATAGTTTTTTTTTTCTTTTCTCAATTGATATGAGAGTATCTAAGATATTGAAGAATATTTGAAAAATTGCTGATGTGTGTGAAATTAATTAATTGTATCATTACCTGATCGTAATATTGGTCTCTTAGTGCCGTGAGATGACTGGTACCATAATCCCTGATGTCACGTATGTGTCTCATCTGACCCTCGTAACTGTCTCGAATCCATTCCACTTGCTGAACACAGTTGTCCTTGATTCTGTGCACTTGTTGAGTATAATTTTCGCGCAACCTCTCAAGTTGTTGACTCTTGTATTGCTCAATGTTATCCAACATCTGATAAATTTGTTTTGCTCTCGGTGTCGCACCCACGCGCCTGCAGCAAAGACACCATTTTATACAACCGCACCTGGAAAATATCGTGGTAAGATTAGGAGAATTTTTATCGGGAGGAAACAAATTAGCCATAGAGAGAGAGGGGGGAATCGATACTTTTTTAAGTAAGTAAATGTTTATCGATCGCTCGTGAACCTTTTTTTATATCGAACTATTTTGCAAAAAGGTGATATTATCAATCACACATCAAGGAACAATAATTGTTAATGTTTTTCTTCGATAGGAGGTTATAACACGTGAACGTTAAGTTTTTCTTTTTTTTTTATCCTCGATCTTACGTAATGATTAGGAAATCAATCGATGACGTAAAAATAAAAAAAAAAACAAGAAAATCAACGGCAATAGTCACCTGAGGAAAAAGTATCGAATCAACTGCAAAACTAGGGTCAACAGGAGGAAGGCCGTTGCGCTGACTCCGCCCACGACTATACTGAAGATTTGAATATTATGAAGTGTAACAGGATCCATTTCCAGCATAATGTAGGTCGTTTCATTTGCTATAGGATTAACGGCGAAGCATTTGTATAACCCAACGTCTTGCCTGAGTAGTCTGCTAATATACAAAGAGCCGTTCTCCAGAATGCGTATCCTCCCATCGTCATCGACCGGTTCGTCCAGTTTCCATCCGTGTATATGAGGATGTTCTACAAAGGCATCGGGGAATGCCGGATCGGGGGTCCAGTGAAGAACCTTGAGCTTCGGAGTGACCCAAGTCAAGGACGGCGCCGGATTACCATTAAACTCGCACTCCAATAAAACCGAACTTAGTAATAGATACTGATCGGTGGAAGATGTTCGTGCTAGAGTCGGTGGCGTGCAATTTAGATAACGAAGAGTTTGCAAGGTATCTATGGTACCGCCAACTTCGTGTCCGCACCTGAGCCCACTTTTAAAAGCTGCACGCAAATGAGTTCTGCTTTCTGCCCATTTAACAAACCAAAACATACGACAATCGCAGGCCCATGGATTACCTTGAAGTTGCAATTCTCCTAGATACGGTAATTGTGCAACGTTGGCTGGAAGAAAAGCTAAATCGTTGTCCCGCAAATCTATTCTTCGGAGGGACGGTGTATCGTCTAACACGTGTCGGGAGATCTCTCGCAAAGGACTGTTCGTCAATTCGAGTGTCTCCAATTCCAATAATCCTGCGAAATTTTCATTTCGCAATATCTCCAAACGAGTATTAGACAGTAAAAGAGTTCTCAATTTGCTTGTCGGTCGCCAAAGATCTTCGGGTAACTTGGTGATCGGTAACCTCTCGAGATTGAGCCATCTTAGACTTGAGAGACCTTGAAATGCTGCATTCGTCAAACGAATGACAGGATTGCCGCCTAAATCCAAGTATTCCAGAGATGCGAGCTCGGAAAAAAGACCACGTGGCAATACGTCGATCTCGTTATCGGCCAACTCGAGTACTTTTAACAAACCGAGACCGGAAAATACTCTCGATGGTAATTTCGTGAGCCTGTTAGTTGACAATCGAAGTTCTTCCAATTGTTTGTTGGGTCTAAAGCTATGATCCGGTAGATAAACCAACAGATTTTGACTCAAATCAAGACGAAGTAGTCCTTTCACCGGACCAAACGCTTGGAAGGGCAGTACGGACAAATGATTAGTGGCTAGACGTATCTCCTGGAGATTGTCGAGGCCCTGAAAGAGGACCTGGGGTAGGTTGATCAACCGGTTACCGGTGAGATTCAGGTACTGTAGTCGGCTCAATGGATGGAAGACGTCCGATGGCAGTTCCGTCAGCCTATTATCACCTAAATTCAGTCTCTCGAGAAATTCCGTCGCTCGAAATACACCAGGATCTATCCTTTCTATTCCACTTGACGTCCAAATTAGACTTCTCAATGAAGTTGATGTTTCCAATGCCGCGAATGTGATAGCGGCGGCTTGAACATCCCTCAGAATAACGGTGTCCGCATCTCGCGGTATTCCAAGACCAAGGAAACTGCGCGACTCGCAAAATAGTCGTGTCCCTTCGGTGTAAGTGCATTCGCAACCAGCTGCACATTCTAATTCCGTCGAAGATCTCTTTCCTGAGATCGATGACGACGATGAAGATGATGAAGATGAAGAAGATGAAGGAGATTGTGTACCCTCGACGCGCACCACCACGAACAGTAAGATCAACCACCACCGCGAAACCCTTGTCAAAGTTCGCTTCCTCATTCCTAAGACCTGCAACGTGACGATATTCTCGACTACAAGAATCTCCCATGTCCTAAAGGGACTTTCTTCTATTTCGTCACAGCCTAAGAACTAAATCGAAGAACAAACAACGTTTCGTGGTTTATCTAATTCTCACGTCACACGCGCATTCCTACAACACACAAAACACACACACACTCACACACACTCTCTCTTATTCTTTTGAATTAAACGAACACACGTGTTCGCGGATCCTTCTATGAAAAGAAGAATCCTATTTGATTTCTCTATTTCTTTCTCTCTCTCCCACTCTCTCACACTCTCTCACACACTTTCTCTTGTCTATTATCGTCGTCTACCTACCTATATTCAAAATGTACGACGTGGCCGCGGGTAAAAGCGAATTATTTGGAAATAATCCGGCAAAATATTTTAGCAGGGTCGTCGTCGTCGTTTCTCACCACCGTAGAGGGGGCGGGGGGAGGGGTAGAGGGGGAGATGTGTGTGTCTGTCTGTCTGATATTTTAACCGTTTGCGAAAAATCCTACGCGTGGTCTTAAAGCCGCGGGCAACTTGCCGCCGTTGTTCTCATCGGCGTCGTCGTCGTCGTCGCCGTCGTCGTTGTCGTCGTTGTTGTTGGATGCGAGGAGGTTAATGATGGTTATGGTGTTGTTGGTGTTGATAATGTTATTGGTGGCAGCGGCGACGGCGGTACTATTACTGCTGTGGCCGTGTCGAGCTGGTAACATAATTGTGCGTGCGTGGTCTAACGAAAATGAAATGTATTTTTCTGAAGCCTAAAATTTTGGACACGGGGAATAATTAAAAAGCCGCCGCCATGGCACAACCGACCGACCGACCAACCGCACGCACGCACACACGCACGCACGCACCACGAATTCACCTTTTCTTTTGATATTTCTATCTAATCCCTTTTCCCTTTCTTTCTTTCTTTCTCGTTGAACAACCCTCTTTAACCTCTTTCTTCCCTCTGTTTTCGTATCTTCGTCAGTCTCTTGTGTCCCCCCGCCGTAAAATTGCGGCGTTACACTGTTGTCACGCGTGTGACATGACACGCTCGTGAGTTTCCGTCACGAGTAGAGTTAGCCCACTATGTACCAGAGGTAAAAACTGACTGTTGGTTGGGTTGGTTCGACCGACCGTGCTCCTCCTCGTGGCTACCACCGGTTCTCTCTCTGTTTCTATCTCTCTCTCTCTCTCTCTCTCTCTCTCTTTCTCTGTTTCCTTTCGTTGTTCTGGCAACGTCGAAATCTACTCCATAATCGCGCCGACGCGAACGATCTGGCAACATTGCGTCGCGCTTTGCTCCTATTGGAAGGAGAATAAGAAAGGCTGAGTGAGTGAATGTGTGAGAGAGAGAGAGAGATGGAACGAGCAAGCAAGCGGTTACTGTTGTCAGCCCCTCGTGAAAGATCTGCTGCCGAACGAAATAACTATGGAAAAAGGAAGGGAGATAGAAGTTTAGGATTTCTCAAAGTCCCTGGGACTAATCGGATGCCCTGCCTGCTTGCTTGCTTGCTTGCTTGCTTGCTTTCCTGCACACGTTTCTTACGATCTAATTAACGATCGACATCATTATGGGAAACGTTTCTTTTTTTATATATACTTACGCCATTTTATTTTCACTTTTTTTTCGCGTTGCTTTTACATACATTTGTTTTTTTTTTTTTTATAAATATTTTTATATTATTATGCAAATAAATATTCGATGTTAGAGAAAGGAAATTTATAATAATTGAAAATTCGAAATCTACTTTTAATATATTTACATTATAAACTTTTATATATTCACCAACCATAAGAGTTTATAGAATAAATGAATAGAAGGGGAATAATGTTGGTGCGACGAGTGCGTTGTATTATTCGATAAAGAAGACGAAATGGAACGCTAAGCGTTTAGGATCTCTCAAGAATTCAGGGGGTCTTGCATTGGAACGTTCCACTCCCACATGTTCGCCATTTTTAAATTAGGTTCCATCGAACTCGCACGACCACCGCCATGTTGATACTTTATTTTGCCTCTTTATTTCTTCCTTCCTTTTCTTTTTTGTTCAACGCCGTCATTTTATACCTTGGAATTTAACGCGTCAGCAAGTTGCTTCTCCAATCATTTTTATTAACATATTTTCTTTCTCTTTCTCTTTCCCCCTCTCCCCCTCATTCTCTCTCTCTCTCTCTCTCTCTCGTTAAAAACATTCATACAAACGAGTAAATATTTTCATACCGTTGTTTCCTCGTGTCACCGACAAATGGTTTTTTCTTTTTTTTTTTTTTAAGTAGGCGTGCCTAATTACACACAACGCTGTTCTGTTCTGTTCTGTTCTGTTGTGTTGTGTAATTAACGATCATTTGCAAAACGTTTTAGCCGCGATAATGGATTGATTCTTTGAGCAATCAACAACATGGACGCGAATAAAGTAGCAGAAAAGTTGCATACCGATTACGATTAATCGAATCGCGAAAGCCTAACGAACGTAATCCTTTCTCAACGAAATTCTAAACTATCCCATTTAAAAGTTGAACACAGGCAAATGTTAATTGGGGTGGAGTGGGGGAACAGCCAGGGACTTTCGAATCCGATATTCGCGAATTTTTGTTCCTACTATTTAACTAAAAATTAATATCAATCAACCACACTCCTTTCATTGAAACGTATTTGATTTTTTACCCCCCCCCCCTCCACTCCACTCTGTTTATTTGTTTTATTTTCATGGTTTTATTTTTATCACACTAGTACACAACGCAAAATGTATTTTATTGGTTTTTTTCAAACTTCTCCTATTACTACTACTACTCTTACGTTAAACATATCTCCTGTTACAGTTTAATAATTGAATAAAATGAATTTTAGCCATTCGACGCGTGTTAATTTTTGAACGATCCCATAACAAACACCGCGAGTCGAATTATAAATTCGTATAAAATAATAATAATAATACAATTATCTACCCACCAAAACCCATTGAGTGTACCGAAACGTGATATCTTTAAATAAAACCATTCCATTCCCATATATGAATAATTCCAAAAAATAACTATGATATATACAAGAATAATAATGAATTAATATTTCCACTTACTTGTACAAACATTTCAACGAAATATCTGCTTAAATCGTTCGAAGACTATTACCCATCAATGTTCACAAACTTATATTTCCTTTACCAACAAATACAGTTTTGCATTATGTTGGCAAGTTCGTCATTCGATGACGCACATAGTTAGAACGTTCAACGTACCAAACGAACAAATAATTACTAGTTAGTTGCATATTCGTAGTTGCATATATCATAAACTGCTGCACCTGCAAATCACTTGTTTAAACGGTCCACGAGTATATGCATGCTGCAAACGTTTAGTATCGTTGTCCTTGATGCCATATAATAGCATCAGTCGCATAATTTTGACTTTGTCGTCAGTTATTCTCTCTCTTTCTTTCTCTTTCTTTCTTTCTCTTTCTGTCTTTTGCAACGAAAGATTAGAGTTAAGAGGATCGAAGTGGAGTGAGTGAGTACGGAAAGGTGGGGTAAAGAGTGAAGGGGGTTTGAGACGAGGACGTTTCGAAGTGTTCATTATCAGAATGAATGTCAGAAAGAGATGTGTAAACTAGTTTCTGAGATTTCTGATCGATCATTATAATATTTGCCAATGTCGCGTTTATGCGAGAGTTTTATTTCTCTTTGTTGGCACAGTTTAAAGACGTTGGCGTTAAACTCAGCATCATCGATAGTCTATGCGCAACGTTCACCTTTAATAAGAGTAAAGAGAGAGAGATAGATAGATAGATAGAGTTATAGTTATAGTTATAGTTAGAGTTAGAGTTAGAAGGAGAGAGAAAAACAAAAAGAAAAGTAGAGAAACAAATTTGGAGCACGCTCATTATCTAATCTAATTAATAGCGAGCAACATAAAAGAGGCCAATTTGTATAAGAGATTTTGTTTTGTAATAGTTATTATAATCAACGTTGAAATCTTTGAACGTGTAAAAAAAGATATAGATCACATTGTAATATTGATCGTACGAATTATTTTTGTCACTTTTATATATTAAACATTGTTCTTTCTTCTATATATATGTATATATGTATATATATATGTATATATGTCATACATATAAAGAATATTTTAGAGAGAGAAAGAGTGAATTTTGATTCAATATGAATTATATAATAATGTGTTTTGTATCTTACTTTAACCATATGATTTATGATACAAGTTATTTTTGATTATTTTCATTGACGTCTTTGCTAGCATGTTAGAAAAAATCTAAGTGAAAGTTTATCAAATTTTAAAACATCCTCCTCCTTCCTCCCCTGTATTTTTTTTTTTATTTTGTTACATCACACATTCACGAATTTATTATCAACTGGTTTTTCATGAACTTTAGCTTTTTTTTTAATCGAATTCGATGCTTCAAAGGAGAATATTGTATGTGGTGTGTGTGTGTGTGTGTTGTATTGTATTGTATTAGTCTGCTACTAATAGGAATATCGATTCTCCTTCTTTTTTTTATTATATCAACTACAGAACGAAGTGTCAAAGTCCCCTCCTTAGAAAAACTCAACACACTGGGTATAAGAGAGAGAGAGATAACGATAAAAATTCAAACATTGGCTCTTATGTTGATTATTATCGATATCCGGTTAATAGAGATACGCATGGATAAGCTTTTCATTTATTTCTTTTGTTTCTAACTTTTTCTTTTTTTTTTTTTATGTTTTGTTTTTTTTTATTTAATTTATAATTTCTATTTTTATTTTATCTTCATTAAATTCTCAAGATGGTACAATATTTATCATATTACTTTGATAATATTATATTTCCTTTCTTTCTTTCTTTCTTTTTTTTTTTTTTAAAGGGAAAGAACCAAACTCTCGAAATTGCCTATCTGATTTTTGTTCTTATCAGTCGGTGAAATAAATGACCGTCTTATTTATGACTCACAATCTCATCTTATCTTAGAAAATTGTTTTCAAGTTTATATATATATAGATATATGTTTGTACAGTATGTGTATGTATTTATATATGTACATTTGTGAATTTTTGTTAAGTCTTCTTAAAACGTCAGAGAATAATTTCCGTTCAAATTATATGCGAATTTTTTGAATTTGAAATTGAAACGAGATTGATTATTCCGTTGTTTTCACCCTTCTTATTTTATTTTATTTCAAATCAATTCTTTTATCGATTCTCAGTCTCCAATTTGTTTGTTCCTCAAGGTCTACGATAATCGTAGCCCTATTCTAAATTTTTCATCAAAATTCTTTGGCTAGAGAGAGAAGAGAAAATAAAAGAGATATTTGACCTTGTTCTGTTTCATAGATTACAAAAAGCTTTCTTTCTTTCTTTCTTCCCTTCCCTTTTCTTTTTTTCTTTCTCTTTCTATTCCTCTTTCATCCTAATTCCCCTTGCTCGAAGTTTCTTACCTTGACGTCGGTCATGGTCAGAACAAAATTGACCTGCTGAGATAAGTATTGTATTAGGATGAATTATTTCATTGTACCTTTTATTCAATTAATCCCAAAAATACAAATATAAAGAAAATAATACAAAAAGAATAGGAATGGGGGTGTAGAAAAATATTTGTTCGTTTGTTAAATTTTTATATGGGGGTGGGGGGAAATGTTTAGTCACTCAAACAAATGTGAACGAATAAAAAACAATTTATTCACATCGTTTATACTAAAAATACATAGACGACACTAAAGTATTATTATATAAGACGATAAGAAGGAGAAATCTCTGTGGATATTGGAGATATGTGTGTGTGTGTGTGTATATGTATTTGGTATAAAAGCTCGTAGGTGAAATCGATAGGACTTATAGTTGTACGATGGGTGAACACCGAAAGGGACAATAGTTTATCAC